GGGGGGGAGTCACACATACATATTTTAACTCTCAAGTTCTCAACTCACAGCCTTCCAGCCTCATAAGTCACAGACTCACAGCCTTCCAGCCTCATAAGTCACAGACTCTCACAGCCTTCCAGCCTCACAGGAGTGAGGACTGAGTAGTCAGTCTCAGACACACAGCAGTGCAGACTGACGACTGCAGCACTCCCGATGAGTCTGACTATGTATTTATTGACTCTGAGACCTGAGTCTGTCTGAGACAGTCCTGAGAGCATACTAGCTCTTGAGGAGGTTGAGAGTTCGGATTTTATTGGCTGACAACTTGTTGCTCTTGATGGTGATATAAATAGCGTTTGACATTATTCAAACAATGCTGGTATGTCAGTCTGTCAAAGTGACAATGACTTGTCATGCATATGTACTCGATTCGTTGGATTATTTTATTTTATTTTTCTTTAAAAAAAACAAAAACACGACAACATAACAAATAAAATAAAATTGTAGAATCTGGTTTTATTGTACATAAATAAATACCTAGAATATTTCATGAAACCTTTCAGAGTATCCGTGGCAGAAAATAGAATAAACATTTCTTTTAAAAACCTTCTGAACTTTTGTTTTTGAAAATTGAATGTATTGTAGCTTCTGCCGCTGTTGACTGTGGAGTGTGGTCTGTCACAAAAACCCTCTATTTTAAAATAAAATAACTAGAGATAATGTTTTGAAATAATATGCCTGACCGAACTATTTACATCAATTTCTGAAAGGAAGTCACCAACGGTGCAAGTGGGGTCCTGGACCCCTTGGACTCCATGAATCCTGATGTCCTGCTGGGCAGGGTGTCAGTGGCCTACTGCGTGCTGGCTTCTCTCTCTCGCTCTCTCCCTCCCACAAACTTCTCTACTCTCTACTGCTGGAGAGTGTATTTACTATTTAGGCCTGCAGGAGTGTAAATGGGGCCTCTCTCTAGTGCTCTACTAGTCTCTAAATATTATGCAAATTGAATCTGATATCAGCTGGTCTGGTATACGACATCATATTTCGTTGTGAAGATGTGTCGAGACCGTCGGAAACTAGATTGCTACCCCGACATTACAGTCAGAAGCCTGATATGAGCAAAAATACATATCGCGACTGGTCGGGAACTAGTTTGTTATGAAGTTATGTTGTCGTTTACCAGGTTACGATATCAGCTTTTTTTTTAGTCAAAACAGAGAAACAGTTTTAACGCTGATACAATTGTCGATGGAACTGACTGGCACTCACTCCACTGACAAATATCGACAGCAAAACACAATTAGAGACATGTATGATGTAGGAGGAGACTTGACTACTTCAAAACAAACATTCACTTCAATATCGGCCATCAGTTCCACGCAGATTGTCTCGAACAATCCGCTCTCTCTCTCTCCCTGTCTTTCTCTAGAGCCCCTAGAGTCCGGTCAGTCTGTCACAGTTTACTGTCGCTAGCCTGGTAGATGTGGATGTGTATTTTCCCATTATTCTATACCAGAAAGTTTGTTCATAGGGCACATGCGAGGCAGGCTGACCCTTGAACGATATCGGCAAGCCTAAGCATCTCAAATAGAAAAATAATCTTCAGTGCGAAACTAAAGCTATTAGCTCGCAAACGCACACCTATGTTTTCTTGTCAATCAAACTGCTCAATGCTATCGAGTATATCTGACTGAGCATCTGCAATGCTTAATGTTATACTCCTTCCTGGCCCGTCGTCGTCGAGGTTTATGGTTCCAGTTGAAGAAATTGTGTGTTTGCGCGCACGCGGCCGTATACTCTGCCCTGACCAGGTGCTCATTCGGGTCAGGAATTGAGCGTGGCCTATAGTGATAAGATTAGACCAGGAAAGTTAATATCAGGCTTTGGTGCGTGATGACAATACGGTATAAGGTGTCAATTTAAGGGTTGCGTTATATCGATACTGCATCACATCGTGGCATAGCATTTTAGGTTGGACAAAGTTCGTTGAATGCATCCTTCGAGCGAGAGTGCGCACGTCGTGTGTATATGCGCGCGAGTGTGTATGTGGGAGGGGGGGGGGGGGATTAACGGTTCCAACTGCCCTTATCGGCACTTGTATGACATCATACTTGCAGATAGAACTCCTTTCTGCAGTAATTATTGATACGTTTAATACGACGCAGTATAATACAAACGGAACAAACAGAGCTCGTCGATACATCTTGAGCATAGACTTTTCAACCATTTCGTAGCCTAAATTATGGTGAGAGTATGATAGAAGACTCACCCAAATTCAGAAGTGACTCGTACTCGGGGCTCTTACAGATCTCGTCCACATATGTCAACCCATGGAGCAAGAAATCATCTCTACGTACGCCGTATCCTGTGCGGTTGAGTACGCGTTGACAATGGTGAGTCTATGCGCTGTTCGTGTGCGTAAGATAAATAGAACACCTGATGTGCTGTTTAACTCGAATAAACAAACCAAAAGAGCGCAGTACGGTAGCAACCCTCAATGTCCAATCCGAATATGTAATTGTGACATGGGTCAAAGTGTTTGGCACGGTGTCGGTTCCCTGTAAGCGAACCAAAGACGAAACAATCCTTACCCAACATTGAGGTGGCATGATGAGGCGATGGTTGCATAAAACTCAGTGCCGTCTCCAAATTCTGTGTTTCGGCCCGTGCGATGTCGTACCTGTGATGATGTTTTTCAAGTATATGTAGAAGCGTACATCATTAAATTTCTTTATTTGTGTTAAAGGTGATGGTGTGCCAATGTCTGCTACGATTTGCATGTCTACTCTATATTCTGTACGGACACATAGCTGGGATAAGCCGGCACACTTCGACACTTATACTTGCAAACCCCTAGCCAGTAGTTGTGCGACATTGGATAAATACCGGAAAAAAATATGCTAGTCTATGCAGATAGCTTCTGTAAACGGTACACAGCTTCCTACTGACTATGCAAATATTCGAGCTTCTATGTGGTAAAGCTTATATTTATATTCGCCAACAAAATTAAAGAGAAGGCCTTTAGCAGTTGCCATTTTGAAAATATATTGGATAGCCATACATACCTACATAAGAATATGAATGTGCATTTACATCACAGGCTGGGTGCCTTTCACGGCAGCCCAATTCATCCAACCTAACCAATGTACTAGACTCGCACACACATGATATATATATATATATATATGTATATATATATATATATATATATATATATATGTATGTATGTATGTATGTGTGTGTGTTGTGTGTGTGTGTGTGTGTGTGTGTGT